AGTGACGGTGCATAGTCTGGCTGCCATGTGAAGAGGCAAAGGCGAATTCAGAAGAGAGAGGAGAAGTTTGAATGAATCGTGGCATTCGCATTTCCATACAGAACTAAAAAAGTAGTTTGAGCAGACGATAAGCCAGCAGACGATGTAAAACAACAGACGATAAGCCAGCAGACGATAAGCTTTATTTACAGTTGTGGGGAGAATAGCTCCCATCGAAAGCGTTTTCCTTTGAATGAGTGGGATGACGTATCAGCCTAGAGCCAAAATTCCGACAAACTCCCAAGCACAAACACTCCTATTGATTCCGACATGGCATAATCCCTGTTACTATACTCCCTTTTACGCTAATTAGATTTTTACTCAGTCTTCGGTTAAACGCAGACATAAAATTGGAGATATTAATCCTGATATATATTAAAAAGAAATATATGTATCATGTACAAAAATAAATACATATAAAATTACATTAAAGGGGGCTAGATGTTTTCTACTTCTAAGTTTTGAAATAACCTGATCATTAAAGGCAACGGTTGTCGCCTCTACGTTTAACATGTGCAGGAGTATTGGTAAATGTTTTGTTCTTTGCGTGCAAAAGGGAAAAAAGAGCGTCAGTTGGGGCGAAAATGCTACCTGGAATCTTAACGATTACCGTGAATTTTTCAGTAACATGTTGTTGGCATGATACATTGTCAAATTTGCTACCTCTACACGTGAAAATTAGGTATTTATAAAAGTTGATTTTACGCTTTCAGTGGCGCGCAAGATAGGCCAGCATGTACGCAGATGTCTGACTACCAAGAAAGAAGGATGAAAAAATTGGTGTGTGACAACACATACAAAAGCAGAAGCTAGTTTTAGGTTTAAAAACGTTCACATTGATAGTAAACATTCCCATTACATTTCAAGTGCAATTCTACAAACTCAAATTCAGTCCACGGGTAAGCCTACGTTTCACAAGCCGACACGTGAAGTTTTTGGTGGGAAATTTCGCAGCTTAGGAACCCAACAACATATTGGCTGTTTTTGCACACACAAAGGAGACGGATACGTAAAATTTTCTGGCAAAAAACCGAGGACTAGAACAGTCAGATTATTTCCAATGAGCGATCGCTCAAAGGAAATCATTCATTTTCCTTTATGCATGATTTATGGTGATTTATGGCGATGAATGTGCAAGTTAACTATTGAAGCAACACCCACTTGTAAAGCTAACGAACTAATTGCTTCGAGTATAGCGCAAAGGCGCATGACATGATTGTTGCGAGCTAGGTTTTTTTTTCTCGCCATTGATGCAGTTGATAGTTTCTCCTTTTTCTATTTTAAGCTTCTCTTAACTACGAAATCCCATGTAGCTATTCAGTGGGTTTTTCCTACACATTGGCGACCTGCTCTGTCTTCTTTTAACATTTGTGCTCTTCAATGTCTTCCGTATATTCTCAGTTTTCCGGAGATTTACCTGAATATTCATGTTTACAGGTTTTTGCCAGCTGACAACTTCTCCATTCTCCTCTCTCTGGACTTTTCTCATTCCAGTAATTCGGTATAACCGTTCCAGTATATCCTTCCATTGCACTGGCAACTTGCCTGTTCTTTTTTGACACTGCATGAATCTCAGCCAATAGCGTCTTTCTTGTGTTCTCAGTTTCCTAAAGATTTGCAGGTCTCCGCCTCGTTGTGAATTTTATGGTATTTCGCTATCGGAACCGCAAAAGAAAGAAATAATGTGTGCTCTTGAGGATTTCTATAGCGATAATACGGGGAAGCTGGTGTTATACGATTGGATTGAGTATGTGAAGAATTATTTACGCTTTTACGCCGGAATGAGGCTTAGAGATGAAAAAACTGAGGAAGGACCATCTGTTGTTACTACACCTGTTCATAGTGCTGCCTTACTATCGAATAAATTAGTACGCCGTCCAAAGATCACTCTGTATAAGCCGGTAGTGGACAGAACAAGCCAACTGCAAGTATATCTCGCCAAAGTTTTCAATGAAGAAGAGGTAAAAACATTTTCATTGGTCATTTGCTTTAGAAATCATTTACTTTGATCAGTTGGTGTTTCAACGTTTCTTCACAGTTGAAGGTCAAAACTTCATCCATATTTTCATTCTTTATAATTCGTTCTGTTTTAAAAGTAACAGCGTTTAATACGCGCTGCTTAATGCATGCTAATATCGTGTTGAAACCACAAAAGCATTGCTAAGCGCTTCTGTAAAGAAAACCGTGGAGATGACAATCTCCTCAGGAAACTAAATGAACCTCAGGATCGTCAGTGGGTTGATCACCTTGGCAGTGTATCATTGATCAAAGCAGCTCTTTTGAGGATTCCTCACAAGCAAGCTGATGATGAATTTAACTCCTTGGCATATGCCAGTACCAAATTTACTATTAAAAAAACAAATGATCGAATCGTAACAGAACACTCATGTGCTAACTGTTGTAAGCGAAAGTAGGTATAATCTAATAAGTATATATTATGTTCCAACAAACAATCCGGAACGAACATTATCCAAAATATTGTTACTTTTACAGGTATTTTTGGCGTTCAGTAAATTGAAAAGGAAGTACTTAACACAAGAAACAACAACATTTAAAACTTATGCTTGGTTGACTGAGGAATTTGTTAGAGGCCGATGGATCACTCAAAGCAACTGTAAGGTAACGATCTTTTTCAGCTCATGCACTTTATCACTGCGTCGATAATTTTTATGTTTTATATGTATATAAAATATATATACATATTTTATGTTTTATATATACCGTCATTACAACTTGATTTGAAAAATCTCTAATTCAGGGTCAGTCTACCAGGATTCTTCTCCTGAAAAGAATCCTAGCTTAATGGTTCCCTCGATAGGAAGCACTGACAAGGCTTCAGTTATTTCGAGATGATTTTGATATGTATGTATGTGTGTTTATGTGTGTGCGTACATGTGCGTGTGTGTGTTTTGAGCACCAAAGCGTCCTCTCGAAAATCTTTTTCAAATTTACTGTGTTGGTACTTGCCTACGAACGTGAGGCCGTTATTTTACCGTTCTGAAAGCAATGACATACCGATGCGAAATATAGTCAGCAACAAAATTAAGTGAGCAGATTACTGGATTTGACGAAATGAGCAAAGAAGGTTTGTAGTGATAATTGTTATTCTCGCTCGGTTCATATTTTTTGCAAAAGGGACACTGTCCATGACATGTTT